TGGCACAGCATCAGAGACAGTTACAGTGTAGACAATTATATTTTCAAAACAACAAAGCTAAGTTCTATAGGCTATTGCTAAACATTTGTGGACTTTTCCCAGAATGCTAGAGAAAGGAGAGAACACTGACAAGACGAACTTGTTTAATACAGAGAGAAAAGGTGTCCTCAGCGTCCCAGAGGGTTAAAAACAAACATTCCCATGATTAAATAGATGTTTTCTCAGGTCAAGTGACAAGTATAATGGCAAAGACACTTTTCTCTAGTATCAATTTTACTATTTTAAAAACATATTTAATGAATCAGTCAAAGCTGAGTTCTCCCAGGCAGTCTGTATACTACAAGCAAATCTACAAAACAAAACCAAATTGATAGAAGCAAAGAGAGCTCTAGACTCGAGCCACGTCTTGAGCCCGGTGCACACTTTGCATAACTGTGTGCTCTTGTCACTTAATAAGGAACTAAAATGGTCACATTACACAATGCAATATGCTTTAAAGATGATGTCATTTACCGGAAAGTCACTGGGAGTAAACAGGGCCAATAAAAAAAATTTTACAGACTTACAGAATTCTAGTCTATTCCTCTCATTTTTGATCTGAATTAGGGCACCTAAGTTTAAAGAAGCTTTCCCTCTTACTATCGAACCAAAATCAAATCTTACATTACCTGCTCATTGGGAACTACAAGGACCACCATAAGAAACATTCAGCAGCATCAAGAGAGAAGTTGTAAATTTCACTTGTTCAAGTGAATAAACGCTTTCCTTTTAAAATAGAAAATCTTATGAAAAGACACTCCCCACACCACTCTTTGCAGAGGTGGGAGGTCCAACAGTGTGGAACACTGATTATATTTTCAGGCTTTCAATGTTTTAGTTGCTTTTACTGATTTTTTTTTCTTTTCTTCCTCTTTCTCTCCAGTTTAAAAAAAAAAACTTATGTGTGATAGCTAAGAAGGAGGAGGAAGAGGAATACAATAAAGATTTTTTTTAATTATTAAAAAAATAAAATGTAAAAGCTTACATAAGAATGTACCTCACTTCCTTTATTCGAGGGGGTAAAGGCCTATGTATGTTGAATACCATATATGTCAGATATGATTGACAAATCAGTTAATTTTGCTGACCCGCTTCCCCCCACACACCTTTTTTATATTTTGTTATAAAGAATGGCTCTCTATATAAAGGGAGGCATATATTAGAAAACAAAGCTAATGTAAAAAAAAATCAATGCCAAAAATCTTAAATATGGAAAATTTCTGGTTGTGTAACTTTTTGTAAGAGAATCAATCATGCAGGCTATATTTTTGGTATCTAAAATAACTTGCCACTGAATGCTGAAATACAACTTTTTTAAAAAATTAAGTCTCAGCAATATGACCCCAAGTCTACTGACACCACTGGCAAACCAGCTTCTAGTATCACGTTCTTTAACTTCCCTTGGAAAAAAGGACATCTTCCTGCCACTGATAAAATTAAGCAAATGTGAAGATTTTATTTTTAGCGTCTGAAATTTGCTTCTTACAGCCACTAATGAAATATGTTCTCTTGTGCTGCCAGAGCCTAGCCCTGGAACTCTTTATAAGGCAGAACTCCCACGAAGACATCCAAACTGTGTTACATAGAAACTGCAGGCCTAAGTAAACCTTCTCAATAACTTGGGGCCAAGAAAGAGTTTTAAGACTTAGCCGCAGCTGAGAAAAGACCAAGCGATTCAAATTGAAAAGAACAGATGACAGTTTCTACAGAGATGGAGTGCTAGTTAAAATACCATTGTCTCTGAATGGAAAAAAAAAAGTACAGGAGAGGGCCCCACAGATCACTTCACTGTCTGCAAACTAACCCCAATTTAGTGGGTGCTGCATCTGAGGCGTTTCCTGCCTCAACCACCACCCACCAGTGGCAGAGTAACCACAAGGACAGGAGTGTTCTGGTCTGTGCCCTGTCTCTCCTCTGTAGCATACGCACAGATAAGCAAACTGACAAGTTAACAGGAGAGCTGCGTCTTTCCAGTGATTTCACAGGGAGACTGTAAACAGACCAAGGGAAACCAGCTGTAAAGCTACAGCCCACCAACCAGGTAGGCAGCACACCACAAGGGAGCTAGCACAGTTTGATTTTCCAGCAAAACTACCAAATACCCTGAAAAGTAGGATAAAATAACCTAATTCACAGCAGCCAGGCAACATCTGAACAACACTAGGCTTCCAGGAAGTAACTTTATTATCCTTCGTGGGGGATAAAGTCAGATGAATTAGAGGTAATGAGAATGTTGCACAATTATGACTAACTAGAAGGGAAGGGGAGGAAACGAATATCTTTGGAAGCAACCATTAGTGAAGCAACAAAATCTCAACACCAACAAAATGGCCTGTGGGTGCTCCATTCTTCCACTGAGGATATCTAATGTGATCTCTATCTTTAGCTCAAAGACCACCAATAACATAGTAGCTCTGTCCTGTGGCAAAGGGAATAGCAGATTTCTCCAGAGAAGGATTTAGCAATAACAAATCTTCATTCCTGATAACCTGAACACAAGCTGAAAACTTTTTAAAACGTCAAAGACTTAAAAATAAAATTTAACAGATGTTATCTGTAGATTTCTACACTAAGTTCAACTTTTCCACATTTCCACTTCCATATTTTCTTTCTTATATAAAGTATGATTGCCAAATAGAACACTAAAATTCAGGTAGGCGGCAAAGTGGATAGAATACTGGGCCTGGTGTCATGAAGACCCATCTTCCTGAGCTCAGATCAGACACTTAATAGCTGTGTGACCCTGGGCAAGTCACTTAAGCCTGTTTGCCTCAGTTTCCTCATCTGTAAAATGAGCTGGAAAACGATATGGTAAACCACTCCAGTATCTTTGCCAAGAAAACTCCAAATGGGATCACAAAGAGTCAACACAACCGAAACAATGAACAACAAACCAGAGGCGGCACATCATTTTGTAATCTGAACACCTTATCTGAAGTAATACTTTTGATTCTGAGTAAAAGTAGTTAAAATCAGTTTTTTCCCCACTGGACGAAGGGGCAAGAGTGCCGGGTTCTAATCACACCTCTTTGAGTATGGCCTCTCTAAGGCCTCAATTTTCTTATCTGTAATAACTGGTTTGGAGAAGCATTAGCAAGGGAAATTAAATGGGCTTTCAAAGAATTTTAAGTGCTGGAATGGCCCTAAGATTCAATTTTTTTTTTTAACAAAATGGCAACACAGTTTTGATCCCTCACAATATCCAATTCACTGAGTTAAGAAATCTCTAAAGTGTGATTATTTTAACGAAACAATATAGGCTTACTAAGTTGGGAAGCTTTAATAGCTCTCTCCTGTGATTTTCTCAAACTGCAAGAAGAGATACGATGGCCTACAATAAAAGTAATTAATAATTTCAAGGAGCATAGACCTGATATTGGTGAGGGAACTTCCTCATGTGGAAATTCCTTCCACTACTAATGCAGATCAACAACTGGTACATAGCTCCTAGTGGTGAAGAGGGTCATGTGGCTAGGATGTGTTGGAGGAAGGACTTGAAACCAGGTCCTCGGTACTCCAAGGCTAGCCTTCTGTCCCCTATGGCACCTTTCCTCTTCAAAGCAAATTGTGTAATGCATACAACATCTAACTGTATTCCAAATAAAGCATGAAGTTCAAGATTGAGGGATTTTGATATTTTTTATCCATAATTTTTTTTAAATGAACATTCCCAATGGTATACAACAGGGGGTGAAAATCACTCTTTTCCCTATTAAAGAGAACAGCCACCACTACAATTGAATATAAGTTAACGAATTCTATCCTAAACAGACCAATGTTCTCACCCCACTGACCCCCATAACATTTTTTTAACTCCTAAGATATATTCATTACTGACATCAAGAAAGAGAAACAATTAAACTTTATGTTTTGACCAAATTCTAGAGAACACCGTAGCTTATCTCCACAATTTCATCTTGTCCTGCTCCCATCTAAGTCCCCTTCTGGGCAGCCCAGAAGTACCTAGGAGGAATCTCTACTAAACCACTAACCTACATTTAGACTGAGCAGAGGCCCTTGCAGGACCCCACATCTTCTCATAGGTAAAAACTGTTGGTGAAACCTTGATGAAAAGTTTACTAGTTAATTCTTTGTTAAGCAGGACATCTAGTAATGCCCCATACACAAAAATATATACCATCTAAGAATGTGGGAATTTTTAACTAGATATTCTAGTTAATTAAATGTTAACTAATAAACATTTCATTGAAAATGCCTCTAAAAGGTATTACCGTACACTTTTTTTCTCCCTTAGTAGTATAGCATACCAAATAAATAACCTTTTTGATGACTACAACTGCAGTTCTATAAGGGGTATACATAGAGTGGCACTCTATTATAAATGCAGAGAGTGTGAGAAAATGGGCTACACCTCTACTGACCCTAGAAATTCCCAGCAAGTTTTTAAAAACTAAGTTCTTACATAGCATAATTTTTTTTGTGATATACAACTCTCATTAAATGCTGGCCAAGGGAAAAAAAAAACAGTTCATCAAGGAAAATGCACCAAAGTTGAGTCATGAGACTTCTTCTGATCCTGGCTTCTGCCATTAACTAGTTATATGCCTGAGCAAGTCACTTAATTCTTGCCTTAGTTTCTGCAACTGTAAGGTAAGACTGGACTAAAGGAACTTTTCTAGCTCTAAATGTCTTCATTTAAGATGCTATGATTGAGGGTTTCCAGGATACTGAAGTTTTAGTCTAATAAAAAGTATGACAACTAATAAATGATATGAATCTAGATGCACGGGGGGGATGACTATTAATATTTAATTCTGAATTATTGGAGAAATCATTTTAAGTCCTCTAGTGTAGACCTGCCTAAGACAGAAGTGTTAGTCAGACAGGTCTCTGCAAGCAGTTGGAAAACAGTCCTGTCCCTGGGCTGGAACTCTTCCACTGATGTGCCAAGGTCAGTTCTACAACATAAACATCTCAGTCTTGTCCTGAATATTCCTTACCTGTAGCATTTGCTATTGTCAGTGGCAAGCCTGGTAGCTGGTGCACCTGGATTCCTGAAGCACCTAGTGCACTGAGGTTGATGGTCTGGAGACCTGGCATCGAGGAGAGCTGAGCAGCATTCACAGTGACCGTGCCAGCAGGGATGGAGGCAGCTGAGGCGATAGGTGTAAGGGTGGTGTTGCTGTTGCCAGTCTGTCCCAAAGAGACACCCTGCATTGGTGCCAGGGTGATTGTCTGAGCCTGTGGGTTCTGGACTTGAAGATTCTGCAGCTGAATAGTTTGCCAACTGACTTGCCCATTAGGCCCCACTGTTGGTGTCCGGATGATAATGGGGCCTGAGTTGGGAACAGCCTGAAGCTGGAGGTTCTGGAGACCATCTTGTGAAATAGCTTGGGTTGTAAAGGTCTGGCCTGACAGTGGCGCAGCCTGGAGGGCCTGAATAGCCTGTCCACCTTGAACTAACTGAGGCTGGATGAGGATCTGTTGTTGTTGCTGTGACTGCTGGTTTTGCTCTCCCTCCTTCTGTTGGCTGGGCTGGAGAGTACCCCCAGGTGTCTGGTTCTGCTGAACGTTCAGAGAGTCAGATCCCTGAAGCCCACTGACCCTTTGTGGTGTCTGGACTTGAGTATTGGTCCCGGCTGTTCCGCTGGTGGAGAAATTCATGATGCCCATGTTGCTGGTGGTGGTTGTGGATGAGTAACTGCTGGCATTGGTGAAAAAGGATCCAGAACTGGCTTGTGAGGTTGCCAGGCTAGCAGAGCTAATAGTTGTCCCTGAGGTTGCCGGCTGTGAGCCACTCTCTTGAGAGCCTGAGCTACTGATTGTGACTGCCTGGGAACTGGGAGTCAAGGTGGCTGCAGCAACACTATTGACAGGCAGTAGGGTGATATTCCCATTCAGTGCCACTGGGACATTGGCCACATACTGAGTCTGTCCCGAGAGGACATTATTGGCCAAGCCCTGGAGGGGGACAGCCTGCTGGAGCAGGTTTGGCATAGCAGCGATGATATTGCCCCCACTCCCTCTATTTGTAATAATCTGCTGGTTTGCCCCAGGTATTATCTGAATTTGACCAGAACCATCTTGCTGCACTTGGGCCCCAGTGGTGGCAAACTGTAACTGCTGCCCATCAACAGTTTGGAACTGGGGGATTACTTGGTACTGAATGTTAGGCATCACTCCAGGAAGTCCAGTCAGAACTTGCTGGTTCTGTATATTGGGGGTGGTGGTAACAACATACTGCCCACCAGAGACTGGGCGGTTCTTGGAGGATTCGCTACTACTGCTACCATTGCTACTGCTGCCACCCTGATCCTTTGAGGTAGGGGTAGCCCCAGAGGAAGAGATGATCTGCCAACCATTGGCACCTTGGGTGAGTTGTGTGGCAGCCGTGAGATCAAGTTCACCTGAGCCCCCTGGCTGACTTGGGCCCTGGGAGTTGTTGCTGTTTTCATTGGGTGACTCGATTCTGCTGCAAGTGGCTGCTAGCAAAGCCAGTGGGGACGGCTGGGACTCCTGGTCAGAGAAGAAAGGAAAGAGGATTATTGATCTGTCATGTATCAGCTCTCAGTCATGCACAAATACCAAGAAGGTAAAGGAAACAAAATACAACCAGACTACAGCATGAAAACACACACAACAATATCACAAGAGATAGGCAAGTACAAAAAGAACACAGTGGGAGATCCAGAGCACAGCCTGAAGAAGCAAACCTAAGAGTCTCTCAGGCATTATCACTGAACAACATAAACTGAGAGGCAAGAATCATTCAAGCTTGTTTTAAGAATATTCTATCTTCAAATATACCACCATTTGAAAGAAGAATGCTATGAGCTGCTCAATGTCCTATCCCTAATTCATTACATGAACTCCCTTCCAAGGGGATGTCCCAATGACATAACTTTCTCTATACCTTATTTCCTCTACTTCAAGAGTCTTCTCCACTTCAAAAGAATTATTATGGGGACTCAACTATTTAGCAAAAGGACTGGACATCCTCACTCACCTGGCCACCTCCTCCTCCACTACTGCTGCTGCCTGTGCTGCTGCTACGAGTCTGGGAAAATCCACCACCACCATTGCTGCCAACTCCTTTCTCAATCTTCACCACAACAGGCATTTCATCCACAGAATGATCTTGGTCTGGAGAAGATTAAAAAAGCCAAAACATTCAAAGAGGCAGCAAGGGAGGGTGGTGGAGAAGGTACAAGCCTAGCCGGGATGAAGGGGTGGGGTAAAAGGAGACCGGAGGGCAGAGGAATTGTGGGGTGTACGGGCAGTTTCCCCTCAATCTCCAGGTCTGGGTCATGTTGGAATCCGAGCCGGGGGCAGGGCCGGCAGCCGGAGGGTCTTCTGGCACTCCGAGAGAAGGCGGCCCGGGGGCAGGGACCAGTGTTCTTGGGAGGCAGGATGCGGGGATGCTGGGCATGGCAGCTCCCGCCCACGAGCCCTTCAGGAGACGGTGGGACCAGGGCAGGAAGGGGGCCCGGGGAGGCGAAGGGGAGGCGGCGGCGGCCGCCGAAGGAGGGGTGGGGTGGGGGGTCCCGGGCGGGAGGAGAGAAGGAGGTTTCGGGGGCGGAGAGGAGGCGGGCCGAGGGGGGCCAGGGCGGTTTCGGAGGAATGGGCGGGGCGAAGGCGGGCCCGCGGGGGGGCCCCCCCGAAGGGTGGGGGGGATAGACAGCGGGGTGGGGGAGGAGGCCGGGGGCAGCGGCGGCGGCGGCGGCCCCAGGGCGGGCGGGAGGCGTAGGGCTCGGGCGGGGCCGGCGGGGCTCGGGCGCCCCCGCGAAGGGAGCCTGGGGCGGGCGGGCCCGCCCGGCGGGCGGGCGGGCGGCGGTCGGGGGAGGCCCGTCCCCCGTGGCCGGGGCGGGCAGGGGGCGGGCGAGGCCGCGCTGCCCCCTCCCCCGGGGCGGGCAGCCCATCCCCCCTCCCCCTCGGAGGCCCCGCCACTGCCCCGGCTCTTGCTCGCTCCCTCCCTCGTCCCTTCCCCTTACCTCCGCCCCGGGCGGGACCAAGGCCGCCGCCGCCGCCTCCCGCCCGCCCCCCCTCTCGGCGGGGACCGCCCGGTTGGCCCGCGCGCGCGCCCCCTCACCCGCTTCCAAGCCCCCGGCGTGGAGGGCACGGATCCTTACCGCTCATGGTGGCAGCACGGGCACGAGCTCTGGGAGGGGGGGTCCTGCAGCAGGGGGGGGGTTAGGGGGGGCCCGGGCAGAACGCGGACGCTGACGAGGCAAGCGAACCTGGACCGGACAGGGAGGGGGGGTGAGGAGGAGGGAACAGCGCGCCACAAGCCCGGCCTAGGCCCCGCCCCTCCGCCGCTGCCCCGCCCAATGAAGGAGGGGGAAAAGAGGGACTTACGGAAGAGAGGCGGATCGATCGGCCAATAGGAAAGGTCACTGGCTTGCTAGGGCGGTACCCGCTGTGCAGAAGGGCGTTGCGTGTCCGGCGTTCGCCTCATAGGATCGGCCCTCCAGTTCAAAAGTCCAATAAGAAATGAAGCTCGAAGGGAGGGGCGGGACCTTCTAAAGATGGACTTGAGAATTCGCCAATTAAGAACCAGGCGGGCTCTCTACGCCTCGTGGATAGGACAATTTTTGTAGAAGTGACGAGAAGGAAGACTAATCAGAGTTTAGGACATGGCTCGGCAAAGTACGGGTTTGCGAATAGGAGGGGATTTCTCTGAAGATGACCAATCGCAAATCAGAAAGGCGCCTAGGCAAATCATCATTGGAAGATTACTAGAAGCAGACGGGACTAAATTTACATTGACGTGACAGGACAACCAATAAACCACCAAATAAGTTTTGTGAGGGCAGTCGGAGCTGGAGAGAGCGGAATCGGCCTCCCCCTGAGTCCCGTCCACCAATGAGGAAACAGATTTAGCCGGGCACCGCCCTAAATTGGCCAATGGGCGTTGGCCAGTGGAGCCTTGTACTGGGGAGGGAATGGGGGTTGTGCCAATAGTGCTTTGCCGCCATGTTGTTTTTTTTTTTAACCTAGGCGTCTTCATGAGCCTTAAGCGAGCCGGCGGCCGGGCTTTAGCCTCCGGGGGCGGAGTGTGGGGAGCCCATCCGCCCCCTTCCTCTTCCCCGCTCCGTCCCCCTTGCCCTCCTGCCCCGCCCCGGCCTGTGCGGAGAAGTTGAGACTGGAGCTCTGGGAAACTCCCCTCCTTCCTCCTCCTCCCCCCCCCACCCCGTGCTCCACGGCTTGCCCTCCCGGGGCGGGGAGAGGGGGGAGGGGCAGCTGGAGGTCGCTCCAGGCGCGTGTTCTGGCCTCTTTTCTGCCTACCCCAGCTTTACCCCTGGTTAGTCCCTGGACACGGGGGGCTTCCTTTTTGCCCCGTCACTGAACAAGATTCAGATCATGTACATCCACAGAACAAAGCTTAGGGGTCACAGAAGCCTAGAGGAAAAACTGCACCCTCCACGAGTTTCCACTCTGATTAATCCAAGGGGCTTTAACAAACTATGCAGAGCATCAGGGTTTACCAACTGTATCGAGATTTTTGGAGTTCATAGACTCCAAGTTAATAAACCTCTGAATTAGGGAGGACCGTATTTACTCAGATGAGTAAAATACACAATGTTTTGAGAGAGGAAGGAAGAAAAGGGAAAAAAGTATTAAGTACTTACTTTATGCCAGGCCCTGTGCTAAGAATGGGGTGGGAAGTGAGAGCTGACAGCTTAAAGCAATGAGGAAAGGCTGCCCTGGGGAGGGGGTGCAAGAGCTGAGCTGGGAGGAATATTAGGAAGGGAGCGATTGGAGGAGAGAGGGCCTTCTGGCCCTGAAGTCAGGAGGTGGAACCCAGGCAAAGTCAGGGAACAGGCAGTAAGCCGGTTTGGCCAGGGTGAAGGAAGGTAAAGCTACATAAATCTAGGGGGTAGGTTGAAGCCAACCTCAAAGTCTTTAAATGCTTTTTGCATTTTATCTTAGAAGCAATAGGGAGGTGCTGGAGACGAGTGACTTGGTTAGGCCTGGAAGAAATTGAGAGCAGAAGGGATCAATTAGAAGGTTATTGCAAAAGTCCAGAACTAGAGATGATTTAGGGCATGATCTAGTATGGCAGATTGCCTGTAGGAGAGCTTGGGACAAAAGTGTAAACACTGATAGTTGATAAGATTACCGAGTGCTTTTATCTTCTCAGTACTTATACTGGTAACAAGTTTTCTCCCATTATAGAATATAAACTCCTTAGGGAGGTCAGGAAGAATTTAACTTATGTCTAGGATCAATTTAGCACTTAGTAGGTGCTTAATAAATTCTCATCCGAGGGTGGGGTTCCTTTGATTAAGTACAAACACTCTTGATTAAAGAATCAAACAGAACTGAGTAAGGAAGAGCCTGCATACCTCCCCCTTTCTTCCTGGTCTTGTGCTGCAGAAGGGAGCAAGAAAAAAAATCACTATTTGACAAAAACTGTTAGGAAAACTGGAAAGCGGTTTGACAGAAATTAAGAATGGACTGCCATATATAATATGTACCAAGATAAATTCCAAATGGCTGTGAGATTTAGAAATAAAAGATGACATCATAAGTAAATTAAAGGAGGCCAGAAGAAATTACATTTCACATATAGGGATAGGGAAAGAGTTCATGATTAAACAATCAAAGGATGATCACTTAAAATAAAATGGAGAGATTGAATTATGTAAAATGTAAGAGTTTTCATATAAATCTAATGCAGTTAAAAGGGAAATGGGTACCTGGGGGAAATCTTTGTTGCAAGTTTCTCTGATAAAGGTTTCATATTCAAGATATATGATTCAAATTTATTTATGAGCCATTCCTTAGCTAAAAAATGGTCATAGGAACAAGAGGTTTTCAAAGGAAGAAATCCAAGCTTATCAATAGCCATAAGAATGCTCCAGACCACTAATAATTAGAGAAATACAAATTAAAAAACAAAACAACCCAGAGGTTCTCCCTCACACCTATCAAATTGGCAAACATAAGAGGAAAATGACTAATGTTGGAGAAGCTTCTGGATAACAGGCCCTCTAGGACATTTTTAGTACGGTTTAGCCATTCTGGGCAGCAATTCAGAACTATGCCCAAAAAGTTAACAAACTTCTTATGCCTTTGAACCCAGCTATACAAGCCTCGGCCCATACCCCAAAGGAACCCAAGAAAGAGGAAAAGGATCTACCTGTACAAAAATATTAATAGCAGCTCTTTTTGTAGTGGCCAAAAGCTAGAAGCTATCAGATGTCCACTTATTGGGGAGTGGCTAAACAAATTATGGTATATGAATATAACAGACTATTATCTTGCCATAAGAAATAGTGAAATGGAAAAGTGAAAACTGGAAAGGCCTCTATGACTGATGCTGAGAGAATTTGGCACAAGGAGAACAGTTTATACATAAGAGATAAAAAGCAATTATGATAGACTTTGGAGCTGTGATCCACTGATAAGCCTCTGACCAGATTAGACACATCACAGCACCTACAGCCTTAGACTAGGTCGTGGGCCCTTTCCTCCCAGTATACCATTTAGTTTGGTGAGCTCATCAGCTCTCATGGATTCAGTTATCATCTCTATGCAGATGATTCTCTTATCTATTCAAGGCCCAACCTTCCTCCTGACTTCCAGTCTCATGTTTCCAAATGCCCACGAGGCAATGCAAACAGCCTTACAAACATTTTAAACTCAATTTGTCCAAAACTGAACTCATTATCTTTCAAGGATGGGTGGGGGGGGCTTCCTAATTTCCCTATTACTGTCTAGGGCTTACAACCTAGGGTACCATCCTTGACTCTTTACTCACTCTCACCCCCCTCCCCTATATCTAATCAATTACCGAGGTGCCATAAAATCTCTCACCCTGGTACAGGTTCACATCACCCCATACCAGGAATATTGTAATAACCTTCAGGGTACCACCAAAAAGTATCTCAGAGAGTAGAGAGGTGGGGAGGTAGGTGGGGGGTAGTAGTGGGTGGGGTAGTCTGGGGAGAAGGGTGGGGTAGGAAGCCTGAGGGTAGGTAGATTAGGTGACCTCTGGTTGGCCAGCGGGCTCAACCCATTCTCTGTTCAGCGGCCAAATCGATTTTCCTAAAGTGTATATCAGACCCTGCCACCTCTCTCCTCAATAAAATGTAGTGGCTCCTGGTTACCTCCAGGACCAAATATATATATATTTTTTGGCATTTAAAGCTTGTCACAACCCAGCCCCTTCCTACCTTTAGTGACTCAGGCCTCCTCCATTCTGACTCAGTGCCTGTTCATTGGCTGTCCCCAAAAGTCTCCTGGAATGCTCTTCCTGCTTACCTTTGCCTCCAACTTCCCTCAAGTCTCAACTAAAAAACCTTCTGCTGAAGGTTTTCCTAGTCCCACCCACTACCCCCATCCCTACCTCCACCCCTTTGACTAGTACTTTGCTTGCAAGATCACCTCCCACTTAAACTATACCTTTCCTAAGTGTGATCTGTTGTTTGCAAGCCTGTCTCCCCATTAGAATGTGACCTTCTTGAGGGTAAGCCCCACTTTTTTTGCTCTTCTTTCTATCTTGAGCACTTCACACAATGCCTGGCACATATTAAGCAGCTGAGTAATTGAATACTTTAGTCTATATACTACTCTTTTTTCTGCCTTTGACCTACTTGAGATACCTAGTAGTAGAATCTCTAGGTCAAAGTATATAAACATTTTAGTCATTTTACACATAATTCCAAATTGCAATAATATTCCTAAAGTACTAGTCTAACTATGCCATGCCCCAGTTCAATGAACTCCGATGGCTAGGTAACACGGTGGATGGAGCACTGGGCCTGGAGTTCAAATTCAAGTTCAAGAAGACCTGAGTTCAAATTCAACCTTAGCTACTTGCTAGCTGCTGTGTGACCCTGGATAAGTCACTTAACTGCTGCTTGCCTCAGTTTCCTCATCTGTAAAATGGGGATAAAAATAGTATCATCGTGAGGATAAAATAAGATATGGGGAATGGTAGATTTAATTTTTTTTTCTCAATTACACGTAAATAAAACATTCTCTTTTTTTTTTAATTTTGAGTTCCCTATTTTCTCCCTCTTTCTTCCCTCTCTCCTCCTTGAGAAGGCAAGCAATTCTATAGAGATTATAGGTGTGCAATCATGCAAAACAAAATGAAATAATACTTGTAAAGCGTTTTGCAGATCTTAAAATGCTATATAAGTGCTAGCCATGATTATTATTATTATCATGATCATAAAACAAACTGCTCCAATTGGTTTGGGCTAAACCCTTCACAAACTGGCT